GATGGAAGGTTGTCGTTGAAGAATAGCTTTGGTTGGTTTTCTGATTGGCACAGCCTGTGAAGTCTACCACGTGCCGCCATCCAAGCGTCTTTTAGGGTGACAGAGGCGAAGCGAATCAAAATAACCGGAACTGAGTCCGGCTTTTTGGTCAGACGGTGAATTGCCAGGATATCTGACGACTGAGGTGTTGGAAGGTTAAGGGGCCTAGCGAGATCACTTATGACCTTCATTAGATCCTCACCGTGAGAGAGCGGAAAACCATGCAGTTCCATGTTGGAACGACGGCTGTATTGTTGCATGTCATTAAGCTCGTCTTTCAGTCTCTCAATGGTCTCCGACTGCTCTGTCATTGTTGCCTTAACCGTGTTAACCTCCTTTTGAAGTTCTTTAACTGCCTCTTCATTTGTCATAGCCAGAGCGAGCACGGAATCGTACTTCAAGCTAAAAGAGTCAACAGTCGTTTGTAATCCTTGGACCGTGTTGCGAAGCTCTTCGACAGCTGGTTTTAAGGCCAACAACTGATCAACCTTAGATGGAAGAGGCAACAGCGTCTCCACACTTGTCCTCAATGAAAGGAGCTGGTTAAGAGTGGCATTGATTGATGCCAGCTGACTGGTGAAGGGTGCATAATCTACAATCTCCTCCCTGCTGCCGTCGGTACGGGAGGATTCATCTACTGAAATGTCACCGCTAAGATCGGATGGTCTGAGGGTGGCGCCGGTACGGCAAGTGGAACACTTCCAAGTTTCTCGCCTGACAGCGCCCATCCCCGCGTACGTCCCATCTGCGACGCCGGAACAGGACTTACCAAGATGGTAACCCCTTCGGCAAGATGCACACGTCAGGGGTCTGCCATCTGCCGGCAGAGCGCGAGCACATTTGGCACAATCCATTATTAGGGAATGCCAGCACACAGCGGTAAGGCAACACAGACACCAGTCAATCCGCACTTCTCGAACAAGTGTAGAACGAGATGAGGTTGTATACGAACACTCCACGTGGCAGTTTTGTGCTGAGCTCGAGCGCAGTTGCTCACCCGTGAAACTGCACGACACAGAGAATCAATAGGTGATACCTGAAGGAACGGGCTTGCGGTCCTCATAGATCCTGCCAGCCGTAATCAGAACGGTTGTTGCAGTACTTCTCGCCGCCATATATTCTTGTCACTCAGGTCGAACTCGGGCGCACGGTGCTCGGGCGTGAAGCTTCAACAAGAAGAGCTCCAGTCGGAGAGAACTGCCGTAGAGCGTGACGCCAAGGGATGTGGTGGAAGCTTGCCTGTGAAGTCGATGGTCAGATCAAGACGATAGGGGCCTTGGCGTGGGAAATGACTGACCCCGGAGTGACACGGTGCTTGATAAGCAGCATGAATAGCTTGCCCGTCGTAATGATGCTTTAGAAGTATTAATTACAGGGGAAAATATGAAGAGCTCTTGAAGTGAACGACCGCCCTGTTGGACTTCTTCTTCTTCTCCTAATGGTACTTACTACTAATGGTAGTAAGAGTAATGCTAATACATTTATTTGTGACGCAAGAGCATAATAATAATAATATTAAATATTATATTATTAATAGTATTATTATGGGGATTTTATTACGCAGTAATTATGTCGTTTTTGAAACTATGTGCATGTTTCTTTTCATCAAATTTAATTGCATTACAGTGTAGGTGCTGCACGATGAGCTTGATGCTGTTTGTGTGGGGGATATTGTAATGATTGTAAATATGACCAGTAGGGTGCTGTCCCAAAAGCCTTTACTGGCTTTGACAGACCCGTGCTTCGACTTGAAGAATTACCTGCACAAATAAATATATTATTATTATTTATTTCCACAAAACAAACATTTTCCTGGATGGCGTGCCGGCCGGGCAGAAATCAAGGTTATTAGATTACCTTAGCTGCGGAACTCCCTCGGGAAAGGGCACTCCTCTCACCCACTTCAGTCTGTCAGTAAACATTTATTATTTGGCCAAAAAAGGAAAGGGGAAGAAGAAAGTGGAGCGGTGTGATCCCCTTCGCGTATGTCGCGCCGTACGTTCGGAAGACTTGGGCAGGGACTTGCTAGGAGTTGAGGGGAAGATGGAACTTGCTATAACGGCCCCTGCCATGCTCTTGCAGTCCGTAGGTATAAGATTCGGTGTTTCTGAACATGATTGTAAACCTGAGACTGGGGCAGAAAAGAGAACACAACAGAAGGTAGAAAAGAGGAGGCAACACAGTGCCCAGTGGTCAAGGTACAACTACTTTCTGCGTTCAGCAAGCCAGATGACTGATTTCCTCTGGTGGTCCAACATCCCACACCTGAAACATCTCCGCACCAAAAACAAGGAACACCAAGGCGAGTGTGTCACCGTGCTGAGGAATGCGTCGCTTCCTGCACACCTAGGTAAGGTCCTTGAGAAGGGTCCAAAATTCTGTACGACGCCCACAAGGCAAGGCGCCCACTTGTTATCTACTGTTCACGACATCGCGGCAAAAGCTCCAGAAAATGACAGGCCGCGATGCATCGATGACTGCGTTGATGTGTTACTGAGGGTGGGTCCTAATCGTGCAAGCGAGATTAAACTTTCAAGCATTGTGGGCCATTTTCATCGTAACAATATGAAACTGTTACTGTCCGACAAAGAGGGAGGATTCGTTGTGGCACCTCAGAACATCTAACTAGAAAAGGCGGAGGTGGCCTTGGGAAAAAATTTCAACCGCCTGCCTGACTTCAAATCGAAACTTGTCAAGGCCAAGGCTCTACAACTGTGCCACAGGCTGGATTTAAACCAACTACGAAAAAAAATCATCGCATCCAAAGGCAACCAAATGGAAGTTTTTTTCACGGCCAATACCCACAAGGAAGAATGTCCTTTTCGCGTAATTGTGACCGAGAAGGGATCTCGGCAGGGTGAAATGTCGTGGTACCTCCTGCGTCATTTGTCTGTCCTCCAACTTGATGACCCATTCTTGATTTCCAACTCAGAAGCAATGATTCAATACCTGAAAGACGACTCAACCCAAACACGATATGGGTTCTCCCTAGATGTTGAAGACTTATTTTACTCAATACCACACAGAGAATTGTTTGACACCGTCAGCGAATGCATCGACACCAATGGAGCCCTAGGTTTTCAAAACACCTGTGGCATACCAGTTGCGTCTTTCCTAGAGCTTTTGAAGTTTTATTTGTGCTCGACGTTTGTCACTTTTTGAGGAGAAACTTACAGTCAGAAAAGAGGAATATGCATCGGGTCATGCGTAGCTCCCATTTTGTGTGACATTTTTCTTTCAAAGTGTGACAGGGGCATATTCCAGGGTTTGACGTCCTATCCAGTCGCACGCATATTCAGATACGTTGACGACTATCTTGTGCTCATGACAAAAATCCCTGACGCAGACGACATCACCATCATCAAGAACATATTCCTAGGTCAGGCCCAAGGATTGAATTTCACCCACGAGACTCTGACTAACAGCAACCTCCAGTTTCTGGATACGCGACTCACCTTTCAAAATGACCACGTCTGTTGGATGTATACACCTAGATCCAAGAAACGAATACTCCAATATGAATCTGCACACTCAAAACTAGTCAAAAGGAGCATTGTGTCTAGTTGTTTGAGCGCTGCCCTGAAAAAGTCTTGCATTCATTCAGCAAAGGAGAGCTTTGACGCGCAAGTATCAAGGCTCAAGGCGTCAGGCTACCCCACCTCCATCCTGTCTGACGTTGTTGAATGCATGATAAAACCAAACAGAACAAGCAAGAGAAGTGGAGAAAGAAGAAGTCGACCTGCGGTCGTCCCTTATCTACACCGCATCTCTCACAACTTCAAGAAAATTGCCTCTAAATACGAAGTGCCAGTTGTGTTTTCAGCCCCCGACAAGCTTAAAAAGCTCTGCCCCAAAGTCAACACCCCACGCACAAAGCCTGACAAATGCAGTGTTAGGCACGGCAACAAATACGTCAACTGTTGCAGCGGGCTAGTGTATTTGATCCCGTTCACCTGTGGGAAGGTATATGTGGGACAGTCGGGAAGAGGCATCAACGTAAGGCTCAGAGAACATGCGCTATCTTTAAAATCCTCTCCGTCGGGGCATCTTGCTCTACATGTGAGGGACTGTAGATGCGCCCTTCTACTGCCCAGCACAAGGATCCTCAAGAGGTGTCCAGATAAGCGAACTCAAGAAATCCTTGAGGCTGAAGTGATTGCGACCAAAGGAGACGACTGCATCAGTGCTCCTTCGGTGACTTTGACATCAAAAGAATTAGAGTACATGAAATATTTTCCTTAGATATTCTTAATTTGCTTTACCTTCCTCTTTCTTTTTTTCTTAATATATTCACTGTCATTTCTTTCACTGTTACTTTAATCATGCCCACCATTTCCTATTGTTTTTACTAATTTTCTTTTTTTCTTTTTTCTTTTTCTTTTTCAATTCTCAGTCTTTTCAGATCCTTTCACTCCTTTCTCATAAATATTTCTAACATTTAACGTTAGGGTTCTTCATCTTCCTCATCTTCCGAATTAAAACGTCAGTTGCGAGTAAGCGCTTGTCCTGTGTTGTCTCCCTCTTGTCCTTGTCTTTTGCGCTTTTTTAATTTTCATAACTTTTCTGTCCCAGTCTTAGGTTTACAATCATGTTCAACTTGCACTAGCTCGCCTGCACTAACTATTTTTTCGGTGTTACTCTTCTCAATCAGGTGTAGTCTGAATTCCTTGGAGTTCAAAGAGTAATGCATTTGAAGCAGATGTAAGATTGGTTTGATAGATGTTTGGGAGCACGTAAGACATATTTTGTACTCAAGACTCGCAACGCTTGCGTTGCTTTCCTCTCGCCACAAGTTGCGCTCGGTGTTCAGGAAGACAGGGAGAAGGGAAGATTCCTTTCGCCTGCTTTTCTTTTCGAACATGACCATTTGCCAGTATTCGTTGTTTTTGTCTGGGTCGAGTGGCACCGGCGGGGCGTCATCTCGTGTCGACTTGGCTGTGGAGTATGCCTCCATAGAGATTTCAAGCACCGTCGTCTGGACGAACGGCGCATTTCCTGTAGGTTTGCAAAACGATTGTTCGGTTGTAGATAGAGGTGAATGTCATATCGTTCTCCAATGGCGGATTTGAATGCTTGTATTTGCAGATCTTGAAGTAGACCTGTTAGAGCGTTACGCACGAGCAGCGTGGTTCTGCTTAATTGTTCCGTGGAGGGAAAGAACCGTCTCCAGACTCGATGATGCCCACCTTAAAGCTCGGCGGGCCAATGAAGTTTATAGTGGTGATTTCGGGCTGCTTACTGGGCAGAGCCGGGGTAGCCGCGGTAGCGACCATGGGGGTGAGGTCAGCCTGGGTGGTATCCATGTCTTCCGTTGAGGGCACGGAATCCGAAATGTTGTTCGGATCTAGCATTTCGAACGAAGTTGAGCGGTGAGCAGGGAGGGCACGAGTTCTCAGCGAACCATCATCTTCTTCTCCTCACTTTAGTTCGCCTGCCTCCCGTAAAGCCCCTCTATCCTAGGAAAAGTGGCGCCATTCATTGTTGTGGAAATGCCCGAGACACGCGCCGCGCGCCACTTCTGGGAAGAACATGGCCTCTGTATAATTGGGTTGTGTGTGTGTGTTTATACAGCCTAGAACTTGGTCTGCCTCACAGGGGCAACGAGTCTCCCAGCTGTAGATGAGCAATTTAGCCAGTGCGGTACAGCCGCTAGCCTGGGGTCTTTAACGTGCACCACGCAGTAGTGATACACGACCGCACGCCGGTACGATGCTCATCCAGATCGAAACGGGCAGGGGTGGGGCTCGAACCCGGGATCCCTGGGTTCTGCAGCGCGAGCTTTCGCTCCACGTGCTCCGAGCTGGTGTGCGCTAGACCACTCGGCCACCGATCTCCCCCATGGCCTCTGTAATCTAGCTCTGTACTGCGCTGTGCCGCCATGATCTTCCCAAGGGTTGCACGTTGCACATGCCTCGTGCATCGGCGCACCTTGCGCTACTTTTAGAACATGAAGGGGCTTTAGCCTCCTGTAGTTTTAAACTTCATCTGGGGTCAGCGCGTCAAACCACTTGTATCCTTTAATAAAGATGTAATATTTTATGTTGAAAAGTGGAGCAAGACAACATAATAAGAAAAGGTGGTTACCGTCCGGTGACCGAAGCAGACGCCCGGAGGCGTAGAGAAGCAGTCCAGCCAAGTCAAGGGTCAGCGAGCATCTGCTCTCCTTTTTTTCGGCCAGTCCTGAGCGCGCGCCGTTCGCTCGTGTTTATTACATCATAGGCTGTATCTGTCGCCGTGAGACCGGTAAAAGCCATCTCTTTTAATTCAAAGAATACAACAAAAGTATTTCAGAGAGGGCGCTAACTCTGTCCAGCTGCCTCGACAGAGTCAGCGAAGGTACCAGGACAAAATCTTACATATCACCTAATAGAGATGTTATCGTTTCCCGGAGCAGTACCACTTCAAGACATCCGCCCCCAGCAGACAGCAGGCTCTACACCGGACGATATTAGCAGTGTGACGATCGTCAGAGTGTCACTGATACGCCCGCTGGCTGACATCTAGAGCAATACCGCCCGGGATTCAGACGAGATTCCAGTAACCGTTCTGAAATCCCCGGGGAAAGGTTTTAGAGATTAACTTGCAGAAATATTCTATGGTATTGTTTCTGGAATGGAAGACATTCCTCGTGACTGGAAGTCCGGAAAAGTCGTTCTGGTTCCGAAATTAGGCAGCGACTCTCAGTACCTCAGGAACTATAGATTTCCAACCGTGAGTAGCACAATATGTAGGAATTTCGCACACATCATGAAATAGCGTATGACCACATGGGTGGAGGATGAGGGGCTACTTACGGAACTTCAAGGAGGATTTCGACGGGGACGTCGATTGGAAGATACACTCTTTATTCTCACACAATTAATATATCGACGTGGCCAGAAAAGAAAAGAGGAGCCTCATATGTCGCTTTCCAGGCAATGCAAAGGCGCATGACAGCGTCCCTCATGCCCGGGTCATTTTCAAACTAAAACAGCTAAACCTGTGCTCAGATTAGACCACACTCATCTACCGTCTATACCATGGGAAGATGATTAGGGCACAGCTATAGGTGAGGCTAACTCTGAAGATGTGTTGGTGACGAAAAGGATTAGGCCAGGGATGCCCGCTATCTCCTCTGTTGTACATGCCGTTCGTAGCCGTCCTTAAGAAGCAACTCATCAATCGGGACTTGGGTTCTCGCAGACTCACCTAGAGCGGGGAGGCGGCGTAAAATCGGTGGTTCCGGGACTGACCTAAACCGATGTTGGAGGCGGGGGGGGGGGGGGGGGAGGGGGTGTATTACTTGCGAATGGAGGCCGTCCGTAACTTAGCTAATCTTATAACATTGTCAGAAATAAAGCCCCTTGATGAAGGCGTTTTTTACAGATACCGCCAACCTCTGTTAAACGCGCAAGACACGTGCCACGACTACTTGACCACCGTTTTTGTTTTTTAGTGAGAGTATGTTTATAGAGCATGAACCATGGCCTCCTCTATAGTCACAAAGCCTGGCAGTTCTCCGACGGAGCCATAGAGTGCCCGGTCGCAGATATGAAGCGCGAGGATCTGGTAGCGGAGAGAATTTCTCGGAAAAGCTGGAATTCAACGCACAGCTTTTTTCAGTGGTGAGGATACGAAACGTGGTTTCCAAAAACGAGGAGAAAAGAAGCGGTAGCGCGAGCAACGCGAGGAGCACGAGCGAACATTCCAACGCTCGGGATAAGTCGTCTCGCCACAGCGGGCGCCCGTTACCTGACTCTCCTCGCATCCTTTGTTTGCCGCTCTATATTTTCACTTTCGGCGGCCGTTTCTCGTGGTGATCTACCAGGCTTTGTCAGTATAGAGGAGGCTATTCCTGAACTTGGTCTGCCTCTACTGGTGACTTCTTTCTCAGGTGTGGATGGGCAAGTTAGCCAGTGCAGTAGTACCGCTAGAGTGGGGTCTTTAACGTGCACCACGGAGTAATGATACACGACCGCACGCCGGTACAATTTTCATCCAGATAAAAACGAACAAAGGTGGGGATTGAACTCAGGATCCTTGGGTTCTGCACCGCGAGCTTTCAGTACACGTGCTTCGCCGTCATTCGCGTCCAGGGGCCACTCATTTCAGTGCTGCTCTAGAGTGCCTTCATACACTCGCGCGCTTTTGCTTGAGTGGTGACATCTCAGCCATTTTCCCGCCCAATCTTTTTTTATGCATTTTGAAGTGCGGGCAATCTGGTGTCACTCAGCACGAGCGCGTAGCTTTGGCTAATGCGTAGGCGCCATTTTACCGCCCAAGTCACGCACCGAGTGCGCGAGAGCGTCACGCGCTTGCACACTCAGGGCAACAATGGATGTCTTCACCCCGAGACAGACAGACATGTAGGCACCCTATGCTGCTCCACCATTTGCTTCCAAGGGCAAGAAAAATACAATCACATCGACGGGCTTTAGGCAGAAAGGTTAAACTCTTTACGCAAGTGCGCCTGCCAGTCCGCCACCCAAAGTACTAAAATAAAAAGAAATAAAAAAATTAGGAAGGAAATAATATACATGCACACGTGACACTATATACCAGAGACTCCTATATTCTATGCTAGACTCCAGGGAGCCTAGCGGAATTTTTTTACAACCCAGAGTGACGAGACTTTGATTTCTTCTCCTGGAGCAAGCATGTGCAATTCCGAGCTTCTAGGCACTATGCAAATTAAAACAGAAGCGCCTAAGTAGCAGATGCACAACCCATAGTGAGAAACACAGAAGAGCCTTTAGCGAGCTCCTTACAGCGAATAAGTTTCAAGCATATATAAGTCTATCTGTATATACACACATGCATACACGCACAGGCGCGGGTTTATTGCCTGGGAAAGAAGATACTAAGAGAAAATCTGCTATCCTAACTCTACAATCCGTTTCACCTTATGTTGCTCCGCAGCGAAGGCTAGGAGCGCGAGCTCATAGCGTTGGCAGCTGCCCTTAATGCACGAGAGCTTGTGCCGCCGAGATCTGCCCCAGAGCAAGGAGCTCGTGCTTGTAGCCTTTCATGCGGTGCATCGTAAGGTGAAATAAAGGGCACATTGATACTTTAGACCCATGTTGTTGTAAAAAAAACTATCTCCAAACTCCGGTCTAAAAACATGCTTTTCGTGCAAGGCTCGTCAAATTATGAGGCGCTGGAGAAATGCAGCCTTCTGCGTTAAGTCCTTATTTCGAACTCTTTTTGTTCGCCTTCCGCCCATCGAAAAGCATGCGGGAAGGGCCTTAGAACGCACCTGGTATCGCTACGCCGCAGCGTTCTTCCGCATCAAAAAGTTCGTCTGCTTTCCTCGCCGTCACCATGGCAACGAACGCCGAATGAATAGAAGCACGCACGGTACCGCCGCGTGAAGCCAGCAACAGCTGACGCCATTTTACGAACGCCGTCTGCTAGTCAAAGCCGAACCCGGTGTGTCAGATCAACCGCCTCCGCCGGTGCGCCGCTAGCAAAGACGACGAAGCTGAGACACGCCGACGGCGATCGAACAAGCAACAACACCGCGGGACGACTGCAATGGCGGCATTTATTCGGATCAAAGGCCGGCTTCGCCGGTGCGCCGCTAGCAAAGACGACGAAGCTGAGGCACGCCGACGGCGAATGGGCGAGCAACAGCACCGCGGGACAACTGCAACGGCGGCATTTATTTTGATCACAGGCGCGAAATAAGCAAGAACAATTTTTATTTGAATCATAACACCCGATATCCAAGTTGGGGGGACCACATACCTTTGCTGGGTCTTTCCTGTGAACTGTTTACAGAGACACGGGGTGCCGCATTAAAAACACAGCTCCGTTTGCAAAATATGGGGGCCCTGAAAAGGACCGTTTAGACCGCTACCAGAACCTATAACTGACGTATACGAGCACTTGACGAGCGGTTGGCGAATAAGTCGTCTTTATGCATGCAGGCGGGTGACGGGCTCAGCGCAGCGGATCCCTCGAAGTCACCGGGGCCGTCAGAATCCTCGCCTTGTCTGCGTCGGGGCTCTAGATTTTGGCGGCCGCGGCGACGAACGACTGGAATCTATCAGTGTTTCCGCGCGCCTTCTCTCTCCTCCAAAACATGAACTTTGCAAGGTGACCAGTGAAATGGTGGCTCTCGCGCCGTCCAGATGGAAGAGAGTTTTTGACGTGGGCCCAGGTGCAATCCACCGTATTGGTGTGCGCACAAGTGTTCGCGTCGACAAAGTTAAGCTTATGGTTGACGGTGAGGTGCGTGAAGCGAGCGTCATCTGCAAGCTTGCGATAGCCAGCCCAACAATCTGTGATTAATCTTGTTCCAGGGCGGACCCACTTGGCTATTAGCCCTTGCAGAGTTTTAGCGTCACGGGTCTCCACAGGAAC